CCCTAACTGCGCCAATTGGCGACGCAGAGGCTGCGGCCGGAGACCACTCCGCCTGATTGCGCCCCCGCCACCAGTGCAGTGGGCGTGGCTCCGGCCACCAGTGCAGTGCCTGCGACTGGGAGGTCCTAGGGTGCGAGTCCTGATGATGGCTGACTTTTCGGCACCAGCTGCAGAGCTGAGACGCATTCCACCACTGGCTCGAGGGGAATTCTCACTTGTGATTAGGGCTTCGGTGGTGCAGCGGCGAATCGAGCTGTGATCGAGCCTTGGATTTTTAGGGGGCGAAAATATCCTTCGTAAGCCTGAGAAAAATTCAAATTGCCTGTTTCCTCGCCCTAGCGAGACCTTCTTCCCTGCCATTGGGGGAAAGGCGCATGGCGGAATTTGCGCGGTCGGTCGGAAGAGCGGGCCTCGTGGCCTGAGCCTCGCGGCGGAAAAGAGACATAATTGAATTAAATTGTGAAATAAGGCATGAATTGAACTGAGGATTCTAGCGGACGGATGCGTTCATTGCAACCTTCCCGTGCTGCTGTGATTAATACCAAGCGAACGCCTGAGCAGGATCCAAAGAGACCACTGACCCCGAGCAATCTTCTGTTCCTCGTCCATGTCCCCTTCTCTCTCTTCACACACACTCACACTTTACAACGCACGTCAGTGGGTAGTGTGGCCCGAGTCGAAGCTCTGCGATTTTGAAAATCATTCATTAGTTTTTGGGGGTACATTACATGAAACCCCTGGAACATATTTAAAATTTTCTCAAAAATGACTCCAATTCTTTTCTTTAAATTTCTTCGAAGAATAGATAAAATACACTTACAAAAGTGGCATAGGTCCAATTTTTACGGTTAACTCTTTCGATAATTCCAAAGTCGAATTTCCGATGATTTCAAAAGTTGATTTTTCCGGCGTCTTCCTTCAACCACAATATTAAAAATAGCGATTTTTCTTTCAAATAAACTTTGTTCTCGATAGTGAGTTCTTTCATGAAGGTGATGTACATTTCTTGAAACTTTTAGTAGTATTCGTGCAATATTGCGTGCAATTTGTGAAATTTTAAAAATCTGCAAAAACAAGATTTTCTCAAAAACCGCTTCAAACTTTTTTTAACTTTTGGTAGTGATAGTGCTAAATACACTCTATGAGATGACATAAACGCCATATTGCTCTATTCTTTTGTTTTTTCAAAAATTCCAAAAATTGATTTTTTACTTCTTACTCACGTCGTTAATATTTATATTAGCGACGATTTGATCACATTATTACATTTACGACTACATGCGCTTTAAATAAGGTCATATAAAGTTTCTCATCCACTTTCTATCAAAACTAGCTCATCATTCTGCATTTTCAGAAACGCTCAAACGCCATTTTCTCACAAAACGGCTCCAAACGTTTCGAAAGGATAGTGATAATTGCACTCATTAATATGACGTAAAGTACATTTCAGGTTGTTTTTTTTTAATTACACAAATGTAATTTTTTTGAAAAATCTTTCACGCCTATAATATGTACATTTCCAACAATTTGTATACACTATTGTATTTGTGAGTTGAAATGCTTCAAATAACTTTAAAATGAAGTTTTTCAAAAACTAAAATTTTTTTTTAAACTGAAAAAGTGCTTAAAATTACGAATTTATTGTAGCTCTTAACCGTCATTTTCTTAAAAACGAATTTAATAAGAAAATAGTCATTTAGTACTAGGTTTTACTGTTTTTTAATATTCTTAAAATAATATTTCCATTCTACTATTAGAGAATCGAAAAATTAAGGATTTTCTAAAATGTACTTTGGACAGCGATAGATGGCAGCAGGCTAGAGTGTGTGGCAAGTTGGAATAGCTAGCCGAGACCAAAGGAAATACAAAACAAATGCGGGAAAGTCTAAGCTATTCTGTGGCATCACTATTTTTTTTTTTCAAGCCTACATTGCTGACAGTCGAAATATATAGAATTCGTCACGTCAATGCAATATGAAGAATTTCGTTTCTAGTCTTCGTATTATTCATGTATTGCACATAGTAATTTCACTATTGTTGGCTCCCCAGCGTTATCTCTTCGACCGAACATTTGCTTTCTTATAACTCCAAAAACTAATTGTGGTTTATATGTCACACTACAGATCACTTACAAATTAGCTTATATCTACCTTAAAAAGTAGTCATTCACCACGGTACTGTCAAAATTTAAATAAACTACAGTCACTAGTAAAAGCTATAAAGGTTCGGACTTTGGTCTCACGTTTATTGATAGCTGTAACTGCTGAGCAGCTCAAGAAGAGGCGATCGCAGAGGGCGACGTGGTGCAATTCATTCGCGATCTGCAATCGGGAGGGCGAGGGCGACCGCTGCACGAAAGCCGCTTCTCAGAACGAACTCACACCGCAAGCGAGTCGCAGATGCAGGACATTTTGAACGACTAGTTTGTCACTTCGAAATACACAAAATTAAAGTCTTGTAAAGTCACATATTACCTTAATGATAAATGATTAAAAAGATCATACGTTACTTGGTCTTCTTTTTTGGAATGATAATACAAAATAGCAACTCTCCAAAACTACAGAGAAAAAACATTTATTTCAAGAAATCCTTATTTCGTACAATTCAGAAAAGTGTCCGCAAACTATAACGATTAATAGCAAAATTTCATGTATGGCCCCCACATATAAAATGTGTTCTGTTTTGTCACTACATTTTTGTTTACGCCTTCAAATTTCCAGGACGTACAGAAAAGACTACATTTTGAAAGAAAAAAAAAATCAGGTGCCCTGGTTTTTGACATTATGTTGTCGTGGAAATGGAACTATTGGGAACAACAAGATTAAGATTTGTGATAATTAGACTTGTCGTAGAGTACTATCCTTTTGGCACTTCCTGTATTTTATATTTCTACACAAATGTCAAAATATGGAGTTATGTGCGATTAATTGAAGATTAACCTGCGAATTATCACACAATATCTTTTTTATCATTCGCTCGTTCAGAAAAAAAGGCTTGTGAAACATCTCAACAACAATTGAAAGTAACAACTTTCAGATACATAAAAACTATATTATCAGATGCAACATGATAAAATAGTAGGCTGTCACAAACTGACAGGCAAGAAGATCACACAAAAGATTAAACCAGTGATGGCGAATCTTTTCGCTAGAAGAGTCTAAATTCATCAGAGTGAACGCTGCGTTAGTCACGTCCCTACATGTGTGACATTTCCAATACTCCTAAAACAAGACTGTATTTTTATGCGTGCTTTTATTTAAATTCCAAAAACAAGTAAAACGTCTCATTAGTGACTTGATTGTTGAATATCATTTACAAACTCTTCAATTCATTGTTGGTATATTTCGTTCTCCTCAATCCCAAGAAAATTACTAACTTTCTAGGCCATGCTTGTAATATTTTAAACACCAAGAATAATTTCTCAGAAAAATAGGCAAAGGGAAATGTTACGATTACATGTATCATTCGGTAGATTATTTAGGTGCGTAGTAATGTCCAGTAATAGATTCCAAGATGTCGAAATTATGTGTTCGAAGTGGCACACTTATTTTCCACACGGTTTATTTCCTGATTCTCGAGTTTTGATCTCAAGTCGACCGACACGTGAAATGAACGTAAATTCACAATTGATTCCACGTCAAGTACCGTAAAGTACGTAACCTGGAAGCGACCGAGAGAGAACAAAGTTCGTACAGCGAGTTTCATTCATGGGTAATATGCGACCGTAATCTATGCGTTTTACATCTGACACTTATGGCACAAGCTCAATATGATTTTGTAGACATTTGTGAAAAAAGTAGCTACCAAACAGCATTGCTCTAACATCTCATTAATAATCAAACGTATGTTAAAAGAATATGTCAAAACTAACAAAAGGTGAGAACTGAGTTTACTATTTAATTAAAACGATGTATCGTTTTCTATTTGTCTCAGACAAACGTATGAAACAGTTGGTATCTTCGGAATAATTCAGAGTCTACAAAGTTAAACCAAAAGCAAAATACTTAACCCCATGAAATGGAAGACGAACATTTCGTCCATTTTTTCAGTTTCAACTGACGCTGTGCCAGTGGGGAAGCTGCGCTGGGAAGCAGCTGCAGATGTGAATTGTGCAGCGCGGCGGGGGGGGGGACCAAAAACGCGCGCGCGAATGTGGGGCAGCGGCGGCGACAACACGGCGCACATGCGCCTGCGCCGGCGCTCCCTGCGTGGGCGGGGCGGAGCGGCAGGGGGC